CCTAAACTAGATCAGAAAACTATATTCGCCGCTACTGTACCCTAATACCCCCCTAAAACCGGCACCGTAGCCCGTCGGCCTGACCGCCACGCTTTATTTTATTTTTAACCCCCGCACCCCATTGTTAGGTCCCCGCTAAATAGACAGCTTAGGGTGCGGGCCAAGCAACCCCTCTCGGCTCATTGTTGGCGGATTTGCTCCTTTTGTATGATTTATTTTTTCGAGCGTCATTGCCCGTCACGCCGAAAACACTATCGAATTGATGACGGTTTTTGGAGCGGGGACAAAAAATAACCAACTTTCAATTGTACTCTAGTCCAAAGTATGCTCTGTAATATTATTTTTTATCAGGAATTTTATGGTTTGCAATATATAGGATCCGGCAATAGTGCGTCGGGCATCTGTAGCTCCTAGAATAAACAAAATGAAAATTTTGTTTAAGTGCAAACCTAAAGTATGTACAAGGGTGTATTTCCGGAAAATATTGTAACTTCTATAGGGTGGCTCAAAAAAGTGTGAGTGGATCTGGATAATTTTTTTTTAAATGGAACACCCTGTATATTATTGCATTTTTGGCTTCCTTTCAGATCACTTTACATAATTCTAAGATATGAGTAAATCTATTTCGAAAGTTTCAGAGATATTAAAAAATAAATCAAAAATTTATATTTTTCAACCCTTCTTAAAAAAAATATTAAAAATACAAGAATTGTTCTGAAATCAAAACTATATTAGATATTTACTTCAGATGGTCTGTTCTTACTTTGCTATAAATATGGCAATCGTAAATCATACAGGATGTTCAATATTTTACGCCAAACTTTCAAAAATATAAAATAATTTTTCTTCGTTTTTTTAAATGGAACACCCTGTATATTATTTTTTTAATAGATTGAGAATTAAAAAATTAACATTTTTTGTATTTTAAGTATTTCAAAATTTTTAATAGTTTTCCGGATACACGCAGTATTATTTCATATGGTGCTTCCAATGGTAAAATACGAGAGAAAAATCATTAGGTGGCTTGGGTGAAAATTTACTGTGGAAAATGCCATATGGAAATACAAAACCGGGAATATCTGCGAAACCGTTAAAATTTTTGAAATACTCTAAATATAAAAAATGTTCATTTTTTAATTCTTCATCTACTGAAAAAATAATATACAGGATGTTCCATTTAAAAAAACGAAAAAAAAATTATTTTATATTTTAGATAGTTTGGGGTAGAATTTTGAACATCCTGTATGATTCACAATTTCCATATTTATAACAAAGTAAGAACAGACCATCTGAAGTAAATATCTAATATAGTTTTGATTTCAGAACAGTTCTTGTATTATTAATAATTTTTTTAAGAAAGTCTGAAAAATATATAATTTTTAATTATTTATTAATATCTCTGAAATTATCGAAATATATTTACTCATGTCTTAGGATTACGTAAAGTGATCTGAAAGGAAGCCAAAAATGCAATAATATACAGGGTGTTCCATTTAAAAAAAACATCCCGATCCACTCCCACTTTTTTGAGCCACCCTATAAAAGTTAAAATATTTTCCTGAAATACATCCTAGTACATAATTTAGGTCTGCAGTTAAACAAAATTTCCAAGTTTTTTATTCTAGGAGCTACAGATGCCCGACGCACTATTGCCGGACCCTGTATAACTTTGTATGAAGTAAAATATCCTCTTTGACTTCCGCCCAATTTTTGTTATTTCTTATTTATCTATTTATTTAGCGTATAGTTACAATAAAAATAGAAATATAAAAATTTATATATAAAACACATTACAAAAAGTACTGTGGCTTCATCACTCGTTTCTCCTTCATATTTATGCTTTAATAAGGCATTGAGTTACAATGTCACGAACAGTTTGGCGTGATTTGGTGTTGAGATTTTCTGTGACTGAAAAGCCTGATACGTGATGTTATCTCTATTCCGCACTCCGGACATTGAAAAATCTCATTACTTTGTTGCCTCTTTACTTTTTGGTTGTCGTTGCTACTGAGTTTACAATTCTCCTCCATTGCGTTCTATTGTGCGCTGCTTCCTCCCACTGATGCTGCATACTTATCCCCTTTAAGTTTTCATGGAAAACACCCTTGTATCTTTTGAGTTGTTCACCCGGTTTCCTCTAACCCTCTACAAGTTCACCGTAAAGAAGAGATTTTGGTAGGCGGTTTTCTTGCATCCTGCATACGTGGCCAGCCCATCTTAAGCGAGATTTAGTAATCATGACTTCAGCGCTCTCGCAACTTGCTTTTTCAAGCACTGATACGTTTGAGACATGGTGGTTCCATTTGATTCATAACAGTTGTCTAAGGTGTCTCTGTTGCAACTTATTTAATGCGCTCGTGTGCCGGCGGTACGACACCCAGTAGTGTTTTAAGCAACAGTAGTAGCAACATCCAGTAGTGTCATCCAACCAAACCTAAATAGACCACAAACAGAACAACTGCATCGACAAAATTTCATGTGAGTATGAAGCAGCCTATATCGGCAAAATCAAGAGGTCCTCACCAATAAAGAGTTATCAATAAGAAAATGAAGGAAATGCATCAACAGGTGAAACTACAAAGTCCGATCAACACAAAATACAGTGGTCTGAAACCAGAATAATTAATAGGGGATTTATTCAATGTTGTTTTATATGTAAAATTATATTGGAAATGACATCGATGTTCATTTCCAACGCAATTGGACGCCGTTTTTTTTAGTTTATTAGGTTAGGTTATTAAACATCTATCGTTTTTTTTGCAAAGTTTCAATGAAAAGTATGTTTAGCTTAGAGAACTTATCTGAATAAGCTCTTCTATTGTTTTCTCTCGAGCATTGTAGAATGGTGAAGATTTCCACTTGGGATGCGGTTGAGTATGTAAGTATGTAGAAAAAGGATAGGCTCGTCCTTGGTCTTTCCGCAAATACTTCAGCTCCTGTTCCGTGAGCAGTTTTTGACCCGTCTGTATACTTGGTTAATCCATCGTGAAAGAATATTGTATCTGTCCACATATCTTGGTCCATATTGGTCACTCGAATGGTTTGTGATAGTGATAAAGGAGGGGTCATTTGGTCTGATCTCTTTAGTGGTAGATGTTCCCCGATGAAATTCCCCTTTTGTGAGTGTCCTGTTTCCCTGAGACAGTGCATTTTGTTGTCGATAGCGTCCTGTTATTGCCTCCGCCTGGATCGCTTTTTTGAAGAGACAGATTGCACTTTGCTGAGGCTGATCATTGTTGCTTGTTGTAGTACCTATAACGAAAATGTTAATATGCAAATTAAATCAATAATATAACGACGAAAATACTCGAAATAATATTAGGTATGTTATGCATTCCATTTACTGAGAATTGTGTTACGAAGAGAAAAGTTAAAATTTCATTACGCCCCTGACAAAGAAATAAAAATATTCAAAAACGGGCGACCGGGAACTCCAGAGACGTAAAAATGCCGAATATCAACGGTTGATTGACTAACTTTCCGGGGGCATATAAAAATTAATGATATGCAAATGTGGCTCAAAGAAAACGAAACCTTCGTTTCGATTCGATCTCTAACTTTTTTATTGGGATTCGTTAGTGGAAAGATGAATCGAATGAAAGAAGTATCTACATAAATAAAATGCAGATTTTCTTATGATGTTTTTAAGTTAAGAGAAGCGTATTTGCTCATTATATGTTATTTGGTTTTAGAAAAATATTAATTCAAACATAATTACTGAAACTCCAATTTCAAAAGATCTACATTAATATTAAATTTTAGAATAATAAAAACTAACACATACCATGACAGGTACGAAAAATGGACACCTTAAAATTCTCATGTATTTTAAAGTTCAGCAAAATAAAGCACCACAATACTTTACTTTTGCGTTTGTTATATACTTTACTGTTGCGTTATTTTAAAGTTCAGCAAAATAAGTACCACAATACTTTACTTTTGCGTTTGTTACTTTACGTTTCGCTAACCATGTTAGCATCATTTTAGCAGATGATTGAAATTGTTTAAATTAGTTTTAATCATCTGCTGACTATGCTAACAAAAGTAAAGTGTTTTGGTGTATTATGGTGAATTAGTGTTTTGTTTTGATGTTGTAACACTAAAGGTTCCAACATAATGACCAACTGTAATTTTAAAGCTAAACATATTTTTTCCAGTAGGCCTGTTTTCATGATTTTTTTAGTAATATACTTTTTTTATAATTATGTTAGGACCAAAAAAAAACTCAACAGAAGTCCTTTCTTTTAAATTTGTCAACGTTTCGCAAAATTTATTTGCATCAACAGAACAATTTAAATATCGACTTTCTTTGTCATTGATATAATTATACGGGTGGTATAGAGGGGAGTGGATATGCCTCTTTTATTTGACACATAACACCAATTTGTACATCGAACTTGCAAAAAAATCAAATCAATGCAGCAATACAGATATGTCATACACTGACGATTTTGAAAGAGCAACTCAACAGATATTAAACATTGTTATTTTGACCAAACTTTGAAACATCCTGTGCAAAGGTTTGAGAAAGTAAGGAGTTTAGAATCCACTTTGTTATCAAGGTGTGTCTTTTCTTGATAGTTTGTTCTCTCACTCATCTCGATAGATTTATTTTTGTTAGAGATATTCACTTTTAAAGAAGACAGTAACGATTTACAGCAACTTTATTATTAAAACACTGTCTCTGCTTTTGATCCTCATCAACCGACAGTTTTTATAATATCACTCTCATTAAAAAATAAAATTATTGTTTGTTGGCAGTTACTCTAGCAGAGATGGTTGTAAGTTCAGAAGTTGATCTCTGCCATATTCAATTAAAGCAACAATTGTCAATAAAACTTTTCAATACAAAACCCGGGTCATGGAGAATATGGAGACAAAATTTTATTACTACCTGATCATCAAGCTACAGTTGAGAATCTTAAAAATAAAAATACAATCTCTTAGAAGTATTATTAAAAAAGAATAGTAATCTATATATTTACGTTCTGATCATAATATTTAATGTTTGATATATATTATTTATAATAAATAAACATAAACCACAGTAGGTACAATGTATGACAAAAAGTTCGACACAAATATGAAAATGAAATAACTCAATAATGTTTTCCATTTATAGTAAACTTTTTGGTATACTCTGTATAAAAGACTATCCACAAAATATTTTTTTTCTAATCCAACTCCAAATTCTATTCCAAAACTTTTCTGTCGATTTGATTGTCTCAATTACAGCAAATTCTTCAGATGGTAAATGTACTTTTGTAACTATATCTAAAAAAATTGCGGATGCTTAACATGTAATAGCTGTTATTTTAATGATCTATTCCAATATATAATACAAAGAAAAAATAGCATACCTTCAATGTACACATGTTCCGTAGAAGATTGATCTGAGATCTTACTTTTTACGATTTTCGGAAACATATTGTGATACCCTTGAATTAGGTTTTGATTTTTTCCAGCTGATGAATATTCATCATCAACATCATCTTCAAACAATGAAACAGAAGGTGGCTGATCCGAAAAATCATTGTTAACATATAGGTATGTTACATCGCCTGCTTGAACAGATGTTAAGCTCAATATTCTAAGAAATCGACCCTACAAAACGTACTTCGCATAAATACACTTGTCTGGAAAAAAATGCTCGCTCTCTACGACTATTCCTGCTGATTCGTATGTATAATGACGTCCTGATGAATTCAAATATAACTCCCGTCTTCTTCAACTACCCACCATTTTCGAGGAAACCCCCGCCTTATCTATTTTTACCACTTTTCAATAATAGTAATTTTTTAGGCATAAAATTTAATTTGAATAGGTGAAAATAATTATTGAGTCTAAGTAACCTTTTGTATTTAACAGAAAAATTTTCTTATTACAATTGCTCATGTTTTCAGAACACTTAATATCTTTAGTACCCCAGAGAAGTAGGTACGAGCATTGGTATCTCGGAAACCGTAATAGATACGAACACGGTTAAATTGCGGGGTAAAGTTACTCCTTGGGGTGTTCACGAAGATGCCATCATTTTAAAAATTTCAAGGATTACTGAGTTTTTTGAAAAAAATGGATTTTTTTGAAAATCAATTTAATTTGTTTTTTTACACTTTCAAATTAGCAGATAATTTATGAAATACTGAGATCAAGATTTTTGATTAATTTAATCTGATTATATTTATCGCAACAATATTTAGTAATTTTAATATTTATCATTTAAAAATATTATTTTTAACTTTTTTTATTGTAAATTTAAAATGTCAGTGTACAATCTAATAATATGCATAATATTAATCGTAGTTATTATAAATAAATCAACTTTACAAACTAGTTTCTAATGTTCTACATGTTCGAAAGGGTTACCACCCTCCCTAATGCACAAATTTATTTTTCGTTCAATCTTATTTATAGCCCTTTGAACATATCTTCTCAATAAAGAGTTGTGTTCAAATGTCCGAAACAAAAAAAATAAAGTGTGGCATATCGTTTTACCCAGAGGACCAAGTTCTTTCAAAACCTGAAATAAAAAATGCAGGTCCGTATTTGAAAAAACTAAGTTGGTCTCTGTATCTCACAAATTATTAGCTAATTTGAAAATCTAAAAATACTATTAGATAGCCCTTATAAAGTGACTATGAGAATGGGCAATTAGTTTTTTGATTTCCTAAAAAGTAACGACAGGAAAAAATAAAATTGATTTTCAAAAAAATCTGTTTTTTCTAAAAAACTCAGTAATCCTTGAAATTTTTAAAACTTTTTTCTTGGCATCTTGGTGAACATCCTAAAGCCAACTTTGCCCCAATTTAACCATGTTCTAACTATTACGGTTACCGAGATACCAATGCTCGTACCTCGAATTTGTAGCACCCTGTATATTTCGCAGGCATATAGAACAATTCAGCATTTTCCAAAAAGACAAGTTTTCCAAAATGCCTAATAAGAATTAGACGTATTAAACAATGATAATATTTGCTGTACATTTCTGCAAAAAGACCGCTTGTTTTAGTCAATCTTCAAAATTACAGTTGAGGGTTGGAACCTTTGGTGTTACACAGCAAAATAAAACACTAAATTACCCTAAATCAATTATAAACTGATTTCAATTTATACATGGTCAGCGAAACTCGCGTCCAGTGTAAAAGTAAAAGTGTTTTGGTGTATTGTGGTGATTTAGTGTTTTATTTTGCAATCTTCAAAATACCTAATGAAGGCTATTCAGATTACATAAAACATTTTACGCGAGATTGGTAAACCTAGCCTAAATTTATCGAATGACATTTGATAAACTTCTCTCACAAAATTACGAAATAATAGCACAAAATAGTGGTGATTCTGTTAATGAGAATGTGGTCAAGGATGATTATTATAAAGAACGAAAATAATTTTATTCTAAAAGACAGCAACGTTCAACAAAGAAGCAACCCTGGACACAGAATCAAATTACAGAGTAACATACTTAAATTTGTATTTGATATATTTTGTATTTAAAATTATGTTACTTATATAACGATTATAATTTATGAAATATGGTGCAAGTTATTTTCGTCGAAACAAAATAAAATTTTGACATAAATTATTGTTTTTCTATCGTAAAAATGTAGTATTTTTATTAAACCGCAAATTATCCAATATGCTTATTACAGATCATAGCTGACTAAACTTTGATCATTTTTTAATCTGCCTGGCCTCCATTTGGCATTTTGTAACATGACTGAAAACAGGCAGTCTTTTTGCAGAAGTGAACAGAAAATATCGTCATTGTTTAATATGCGTAATTCTAATTAGGCTCTTTGCGAAGCGACTGAAAATAGGTAGGCTTTTTGTAAAAATATAATAATATATGTCTAGTCTTTTTGCAGAAAGCCGGATTATTCTATTCACCTGCGACATATACTCCAAAATAATCCTATTCGTACAAACAAACTATCCGAAAGCAGTAAAAATAGGTAGGGTCATCTCCCCCGAAAACGGGTGCTGCTGATAGAAATCGGAGGTCATATTTGGATTCAGGAGGTCATTTTGCATAAGAATCGGCTAGAATGGTGTCATGGTGGATTTTCGTGATGACCAGTGATATTAGGTAGGTACTAAATAGGTATAGGTACCCACACTAAAAATTGTTATTTGAACAAATCTACCTGTAACTGTCTTTCTTCATGATTAGCATCGCCGATGGGTTCTAAATTAGCATTATTATTGTATTGCATCGTTATATCAGCAGTGCCTAATGTCTTGCGTAAAAGTAAAATTTGCGAGCCATTATTTGAAAACTCTTCGCTGTCTAAACTTTTTTTCCTACAGCACATCACAAACCATAATCAGGACATATATCTTTGTCAAATAAATAATTGGATGTTATAAATAAAATTATATTGTCTTGAAAAATATAGTTAATAAAATTAGAAAAATTTTGTGACAATGACTGACAGTCAGAGTACAATAATCTTTCAGTTTTTGATATAGTATACTGGGTATTTGAAGTGCACAGAATATAAACGTCATGTCCCATATTGGTTGTAGTTATTTTGTTTTTCGCAATTTTTGCAGAACTGACTACCTATTTAATGAAACCAAAGATACCGTAAACACAATTGTAATAACCCTCTTTGTTTTTTTGCTAATAGCAGTAATAGGAATCAAAATTATAAAACGAAAATCTTATACCGCGTGCGTCTCAAAAGTGGCTCACCCCTATAACTTTATTATTTTTTCAGTTAAAAAAACGAGATTTAGTATGTTAGTATATGACATAAATTAGGATTAATTCACGTATTCGGTTGTTTTCGGTTACTTCCTGTTTCACCGGTAATGACTACAACTTTTGATTTTTAAATGGCATCCTCGGTATTTTTTTACTTTATTTTATAGAAAATAATACTCTGAATAGAATGACATATCATATGTCAACTTTTGACATTTTTGCATATGGTTTATTCAATTTGACTTGAAATACCAAGTATGTGGTATCAAATTATTCGTAAAAAAATTCTTTTTCCAAATATGCTAATGAGCCACCCTCGTTCCATTTGAAAAAATTGAGATATGATTAAAAATACGATTTGGGCATTTTTAACCGGCTAGGACAAGAAACTAAAACATTAGACGATCAAATCTATTTTTCCAAGACCCCTTGAATAAGAATTAATGTTTTTAGCATAGCCATGGCACTCTAGAATGAAATTTAAAATACAATTTTTTATTAAGCGAGAATGTCAATAGTTGAGTGTCATTTTATTCAGAATGTCATTTTCTATCGAATAAAGTAAAAAAATACCGATGGTGCCATTTAAAAATCAAAAGTTGTAGTAATTTCCAGTGAAACAGGAAGTGACCAAAAACAATTAATTGAACACGTCAATCAATCCTAATTTATGTCATATACTGACATACCAAATCTCGTTTATTTATCTGAAAAAGTAAAAAAGTTATAGGGGTGAGCCACTTTTGAGACGCACCCGGTATATCGATCGATACAGTACCTGAATAAAAACGTGATAAGAGATATTCATTATTTCCCATTTTCTTGTTAACTCTCACACAAATCCCACATTTCTCAAAAATCGCCTTATTGATCATCATCGTTTCACACACAAACACAGATTACACGTGCCGAGGACGAAACAAAAACGTAACGATAACAGTTGAAGGAAACGGTCAAACAAAAGAATGCCATTGGGCTATTGTTGACGCGATCTAGATTGCGATTTGAGTATGACGAATGACCCGGGCAGATCTCTTATTTATCGGCCGAATACGTCAACCCTTGAAGGCTGCACGTCAGATTTTTCCTATTAAATTGCTATTAAATCATCTATATTTTCGCGCAGTCCAATTGTTCATCGTTATATTTTTCTTTTCATTGAAATAGATTAATGTGTGCTTGTTTATTTTATTTGTGAAATAGTCTATTCTTCAATGTAATTCAATGTACAGGGTGTATCTCGGAAACTAAAAGAGATACAAGGTTTTTTAAAATGTGGCCAAGATGCGTAAGATTACTGATCAAAATGCCACCTTAAAAGTTAAAAAATTACTTCCTTTTTGGAAAAAACGAATGATATTCGCAATTTTATTTTTATTTTTCTATGACTCTATTTATTAAACTTAACACTATAAATTTCACATTTTCATCGGTACATTTTTCGTTCTACAAGGTGGTGTTTTCAGATTTTCAAATCCACGTTTTGTCTTTGCTACCATCATCAACAGAAATATTAGTTTTTTTTCTATAAATCTTCGGAAACATTCACAATTTTTGAACTTGTTAAGATAACATTTTGATCTGCATCAAATTGCTCAACTTGATCTCCATTTACATGGAAAATAAATACTTTCATAATAATGGTTTATTTTCCGTCGGACATTCAGAACAAGGTTAGAAATTGAAACTATTACAGTTGAGGGTTGGAATCTTTGATGTTACAACAGCAAAATAAAACACTAATTAACCACAACATACCAAGCCACTTTTCTTTTACACTGAACGCGCGTTTTTCTAACTATGTTAGCATCATCAACAGATTATTAAAACTAATAAGTTACTTTTAATCATCTGCTGATGATACTAACATGGTTAGTGAGACGCGCTTCCAGTGCAGAAGAGAAGGGTTTTGGTGTATTATGGTGAAATTGAAAGTAATTGGCGAAATGAATTTAACCGTTAACCAGGAAATGACACAAGAGGATGGAAAATATGGAAAGTCCTGATAAAGATACATTTAGTTTTTTAAATTTATAAAGTAGAGACCTTTTTGCTACTAATTTTAAATGTATCAAATTGTATATGGGATACGTATTAACAAACATTTGTTGGAATAAAACTAGTTTAATATACGATCCATTATCAAAATTTATTTCGATCACAAAACCTATAGATCAAATCCAAACCAAATCTAACCTACAGAAAGTTTTATTTATTTTGATATTATTACATATTCAATAAATAAACTAGAAAACCTTCTAAAAAAATTATTTCAAATTAAATCAATAACGTCAACGGTTTATAATAGACTCATTTGCTAAAATCTAAAGTGTTAGTGAACATTTTTAAGTAAATATTCTAAATATTTTTTTTCAAACGTCACAAAAGTACCGTATGATCGAATAAAAATGGCGTCAGCGATGGCTATGAAATGAAGATCGCTGTCATTTTATATGCAAAATTATATGGGAAATGTCATCGATCGTCATTTCATAGCCATCGCTGACGCCGTTTTTATTCGATCATTTAGAATTACAATAAGTGGGAGGGGGGTTAATCTCTGCGACCTTAGAGATCTATTGTGTCCCCCTTTCTTGAGTTATAACTCATCATACAGTCCCAGGACTTCCTACGGAGACCCGTGTCCCTCACAGTCGAGGAGCTACGACCCAGGCCGGGTAGACGAAACGGTAGCTTGTGTCGCCTGTTGGGTTTAGGGGTAGGAGGTAGGCTCCCGACCCTTGGAGGAAGTGGTAGCTTGTATGCCACTTGCGAAGGATGGTCTCACGCAAGTGTCAGCCACCTCTCCTGTAGTTCTCTTTGGTTTGGCCCCTTGGAACTTTCATTGTTACTGTTCCCAGTGTCGCTAGGGGGTTTCCCCACAGCTTCACCGGTGATGTTTTTATTACTATTATTACCAGATCTCATAGTGTTCCTATGAGTCGCTAGGGACAGTCGGTCCACTTCTACAGAGCCCCGCATGTAGAAGTAAGGGGTAAAATACAATGGGGTGCCCCCCGGTGCCCCAAGGTTGAGGCTGTCCGTAGCCCCGCCCGGTATCGTTATATGTCTTGGTGCAATTCCCTGGCCACGACACTACAGTCAGGGACAAGACGATGAGTGAGATGCTTCTTAGACCAAGCCAAGTGCTAGAGGGGATTCCCCCCAGCACCTGACCAGGAGCTTCCCCACCAACGACAAGGTCTTGCATCTCCTAGGGGAAGTTTATTCGATCATACGATATTAGTTTTTGCGACGTGATTGACAATATAAAAAGTCATTTTTTCCATAGCAACTGTTAAAATGGCCTTATAGATATCTATCAAAAATAGTAGATAAAATAGTACTTTAACCGCAAGGGTAGATTAAATAATACTTTAACAGCGAGGATACGTTAAAAACTTATTTCTTCTCGCACGTTTTTTAATGGCTTCCATTTTTGAAAATTTTTGTATTCCTTTTCATAAGTTATTCGGGATTTAAATGGAAGTAGTTAGGATATGGCGTTTGGCGCCTCAGCCTGAATATCTGTTGATAATTTACTTATTTCGTTTAGAGCGATTTCTGGCTCCAATTCAATCAGCAATCGACACAAAAGAGAATTAAAAAATATTGACTCAAAACTGACAACTAAAGAGACAGCTTTATTTATTTGTGAAATTACATAGAAACCAACGCCAACCCAGCACAATATTTTTAGCCGACCATACGAATAAGTATGGTAGCCTCTCGGGTAGGCTAACCGACATTTTCTTTTTTTTTAATTTCACTCAAAATGAGTTATTTGGGTCATAAATGACCTAAATACAAAATATTTTCTTCTGATTGGAGTCTGTCTGTCTGTTTGTCTGTCTACCCATCTGTCCGTCTGTCCGTCTGTCCGTCTGTAACACGATAACTCAAAAAACGCTAAACCGATTTTAACCAAATTTGGCATAAAAATACTGCGGCACCCGAGAATCTGGCTATTAGTTTTTGGTGGGGGTGGGGGGTTTTAAAGGGGGTATGGAAAGGGGTTAAAAATTTAAAAAAATTGTAACTCCAAAATTTCAGTAGCTAGCGAAACTCGGTTTTCAATTTAAGATTAGAAATAATATTTGCAACAAAATTTGTAATAACATCAAAAAATCATTATTAACATATTTTAGTATGGGCGGCTATTATACGTGCCTGCCGACGCCAATTTTTTCTTCTCCTAATAAATTCCTTGAAATAATAATTTCTGAATATTTTTTAAAACGTCTCGCTATGGAAAAAAATATTGTTTTTTTTTCAATTTTTGCCGATAAGGCAAATGTGTTTTACAAGTAAAAAGCCAATGAGAACTTGGTTTCCGCTAGATTCAACGTAGCGGTGTTTACAAAATATTACTATTTTGTAGAGTATTTTATTTTGTAGATTTCTTTTCCAGTGGCAAAAGACACAAACTTTTTCAAGATAATAGTTCGAAGTCATAAATAAATCAGTTCAGCCTAACAAGTTTCCTTGTCCTCGCCAAAGCAGTAGACAGTTCCTGTTTATTTATCTCGGCGTTGTTCTTAAATTAGATCTAATTATCGGCTAGCCTCACCGTCCGCACAATGGCTGGGGTCAATTCGGTAAACCTCAACGCACACACAGATGTCGATACCCGTGCCAAACGGGCCATATGGCATCCACCGCACCGTTTCATTTCGGAGATTGGACTTGACTTAGCGAACGTTCGATTTGTCACACTCACTTTTCCAA